TGTCTCCAGTGAGTATTGTTACACTCAATACATATTTTTAATATTTGGTTGTCTTTTACTACATAATAATCATTTCTCTGTATTTAAACAGATATAGCTTGTTGCGACAATTCTTGAATTATAAATACCAACTATTTATTGAGGTGTAATACATAATCCATTGTATATAATGATATGCATGATAGTTGCGAGACTTAATATTTTAACAAAACAAAGGTGTTTATTTAACATGCAATTATTCTATTAGGAAGTGACTATAGCCACAGTAGTTCCATGCTGCCAGCAGGCAGAGCTGTTTGCACTAGCTACCATGAGAGCGGCACTACAGCTTTTCACTTGGATGGACTCCACAGTATCAGAGAGCTGTTTGAATAGAAAAGCTTTCCAAAAAGTTCTCTGGTACATACTGATAGAGTGCAGATAGTACTAGGAATGTTGGTTCTGTTCTTGCTTCAGATAGTAATTTCCTTTAAAGCTTCCTCCCCTTTTGTTACAGCTTTATGTTTTCACATTTTATTATTAAAAGGAGGGGGAGAGAGAGAGAGAGAGGGGAGTCATTATTCAGGAAAGGAAAAGAGGAATCTGCATTGAGCAGCAACAGAGAGTGCCCCATCCCCGTGAGTGACAGCCAGGGTGAGGGGGAAAGGGAAAGAGGCTTAAGAACTGATATCACAGTCCTAGCATCATAGTCATTCTGCTGAGTCTAAACCAAGAGATTTATTTTTTGTTTTGTTTTTTAATTCCACCAGAGTGTGTGTGTATAGAAAAAGAAACATATGAGTGTTGTGAGGCTCACCATCTCAGTGCGCCCCCTCGCAGCAAGACCTGGCATTGCTGCATTTTTACCTCAGTTTCCCTACAACAATCTTTGACCCACTGCCACCCTAGAGGTGACTTGGCCCTCCAACCAAGCCAGAATTCCCTGGAGAGAGAGAGGCAGGCTGGCTTACCTGTAGAGGATTCTAGCAGTCTTGCCCAGGAAACTCCTCTTCCTTCTTTTAAGTCCCACACCCTGCACCAGTGGAATTGAGTAGACTAGGGGTTCTCAAACTGGGGTCAGGCCCCTTCAGGGGGTCACAAGGTTATTACATGGGGGGGTCATGAGCTGTCAGCCTCCACCCCAAACCACACTTTGCCTCCAGCATTTATAATGGTGTTCAATGTATAAACAAGTGTTTTTAATTTATAAGGAGGGGTCACACTCAGAGGCTTGCTATGTGAAAGGGGTCACCAGTACAATAGTTTGAGAACCACTGAAGTAGACTAACTCAACAGGGCTGACTGGCCCAAGACCTTCTAGCCCTTAAAGGAGCAGGCCACTCTGTTACAGAGAGCCTTTTTACTTAAAATGAGAGAGGCCCAAACAAAGTGAGGGTTGGCAGAGAGCATAAAGGAGTGTGGACATTCAGCACTGAGTAGAAAAGGCTGCTCCATTATTTGTTAATCAAGTAAATTAGAGTCTCTGAAATAAACACACACACAAAAAAAACTTTAGCTTCTAACTAAGAAAGAAAACACAGGTCAACCTAGTATCTAGTCACAGAGTAAAAACCCAGTATAACTATGCAGGCAGAAGAGTACCAAGAGATTAGTCAAGATGGGACTGCTTACCTTGTGGCCAAATGGCAATGCTACATTTGTGCAAAAATATGTGTAAAGAGAACACTTAAGTTTTAACATTCTCCAACAGACAGCTTCTCACTTTGAGAAGATGACCTCTGTTACTGCATTTGTCTACTGACAGACACTTGAATTCAGCGGAACTACTCACATGTTTTAAAGCATTTGTGTGTTTGCAGAATCAGGGCCCAGAACTCCAGAATTTTATCCAAAATTCTCTGTGAAGGCAGACCCAAGCAGTCCCAACTTTGGGAGATCAAAAAACAGAGCAAAGCTAGAACAATGTTGAGCACTCTGAAAATCCCACCCTGAATATTTTTTTAAGTAATTTCTTGTTTATATTTGCAAAATTCAAGAATAGTATTATTCTGCAAATAAAATAAAATAATAAATAATAAAACAATAATAATAATAGCACCTAGGAGCCCTAGTCATGGAACAAGACTAGGTTGTGTTAACCACTGTGCAAGTACTGGACAAATGCTGTTCTTTCCCCTTCATCGTTGCATTTCTAGTGTATGATCGGTTGCATTTTTAGTAAGTGGCTATTATTCCTGTAAGGGGGTAGTTCAGTGGTTTGAGCGTTGGCCTGCTAAACCCAGGGTTGTGAGTTCAATCCTTGAGGGGGCCATTTAGAGAACTGGGGTAAAAATCTGTCTGGGGATTGGTCCTGCTTTGAGCAGGAGGTTGGACTAGATGACCCCCTGAGGTCCCTTCCAACCCTGATATTCTATGAAATCACTACAGAAATCAAAATTCTCTTGTTTAAAGTATCCATTGCTTCACTTTGTGGGTAATAAAATCAGCTCCTTAAGTCAACATTTCAGATCCAAAGCTTCCTGGTGGTAATAAAACAATAATTATGGAAGCATGTGTCCCCTCCCACACACCTGTTCCACTATTACCTGAAAAGATATTCATTTTATTTTGGAGATTAACCATATTTCTTACCACTTTCTGTGATCACAATTTATATTGAAAAGAAAGCCTTCTTATTCTCCCCAGCATCTGCTCTACATTTCATGAAAAAATCTTCTTACCCAAGGAAATTGCTGATGCTGATAAAGCAGGAGAAATTAATCACATACCATTCCCTATGATGTCCAGTAAGCATTGTGATCGCTTAGACAATAATTCAGCAAGGCACTTAGTGCGGGCTTAACTTTAAAAGCACATCTCTATTTCAGAAAGTATTTAAGCAGGTGCTTAAATTTAATCAAATGAAGAGCTTTATTCTGGTGACAACCGATTAAGAGATGTTTGTAAAGCTTCTGCTATAGCTGGGAGTGAAATTTCCAAATCTGGATGCTATAATCTATATGCAGGTAACTTCAAAAGTAATTTATGCTGCTAAGAAGACTATAAATTATATACTACCTATGGTTTGTGCTAGATGTGAGTAGCTGACAATTACAACTCCTATATTAAAACTGAAACAATTTCCCCCAGTCAGGGACATTACCAGGGTTCTGATATAAAACAGTACTAAATATAATACTACTAATAATAAATCTATTAAAACATTAACAGTGAAATAAAGCAACTATCTTGATTATTTTTGTTTTTTAACTGTAAACACGTCTTGACATCAGCACATTCCTAAATACACAATGTTAAATTAAATGAGGTTATTCAATGTTCCTTTCATGAGCTAACCACAAACATATATATAGATGCAAGCAGGGAACAGAGATAAGTCCTACAGAGGATGCATTACTAGCAACAAGCTAAACTGAGTTAGGCCTGGATCCAAAAAAGGTATTTTCCTTTGAAATCAGTGGAAGTTAGGAGCCTTACTTTTGAGGATCTGGGCCTTAATGTCTAATTCAGACTAAGGGAATGTTTTCTGATCAAAGCATGAAATGTTTGTATGTAAGCAAAAGACATCCATGAAAATATTCTGCCTCTCTTAAAGAATAATAATCAAATAGCTTGCTGTTAAACTATATAAAGCCATCCAGGATTAGTCAATAAGCAAATATTTCCAATGCACATTGGTTGTAGTATGGAGGCATTATCAGCAGCTCTGTAGTTAACCCTGTGTGTAGATTTTCACTTGAAGCAGTTTCAGATGTTATGGGAAGAAAACAAATGTTTGTTACAAACATACTGACACCACAAACTCTGAGTACAGATGTAGGTTGCAGCTTTCAAAGGAGCCTTGTGCCCAAATCCCTCTGAATGCCAATGAGATTTGGTTGTCTAATACTTTTAGGCTCCTTCAAAAATCCCAGCCTTCATCTTTTGTAAAGTTGCTAGGAAGAGTATTCAGCAGCACCAGCCAGGCGAAACCGAGAGGCCCCAATCTCATAGACTCATAGACTCATAGACTTTAAGGTCAGAAGGGACCAATATGGTCATCTAGTCTGACCCCCCGCATGATGCAGGCCACAAAAGCTGACCCCCCCACTTTCCCTTAACTGTGCTGTTGAAGTCTCCAGATCGTGATCTAAAGACTTCAAGTCGCAGAGAATCTTCCAGCTTGCGACCCCTGCCCTATGCTGCGGAGGAAGGCGAAAAACCTCCAGGGCCACTGCCAATCTACCCTGGAGGAAAATTCCTTCCCGACCCCAAATATGGCGATCAGCAGAACCCCGAGCATACAGGCAAGATTCTCTAGCCAGACTCATTTTACCAGCGATGGCCGTTATTGCCTAATTGATTAGAATCACGTAATCCCATCAAACCATTCCCTCCATAAACTTATCTAGCCTAATCTTGAAGCCAGAGAGGTCTTTCGCCCCCACTGTTTCCCTCGGAAGGCTGTTCCAAAATTTCACCCCTCTGACGGTTAGAAATCTGAATACATTTCAAGCACCCAGCACAAAGTGGGTATGGGTGAGTTACAACCCTTGGTGATGGGGTGGGGCCTTCCAGCTCCTCTCCCTGACTGGGAGAGCAGGGGTCCCAGCGCCTCTCTGGGGCTTGTTCCGTCCCACACCAGACGGGGGAGCTGGAAGGCACCAGCACCGCCCACTCGAAATCTGCCTCCTGCAAAGGGGGTCAGGCTGGCGGGCTCCGCTCCCGCTGGGGGGGGTGCCCCGATCTCTTGGCTGCTACAAAGAGGGGCTGGTGCAGTCACTTGGGGAGGCCGCCTGGTGTCTTTCGCCCCCACGCAGAAAAGCCCTCGGCGCCAGCTTTCCCCGACGGCCTCTCTCAGGGCGAGCCCCGCACAGGCGCCCGGGCGGGCCGGTGTTACGCCGGCAGAGCGGCGCAGGCCAGGCGGGGAGGGCGGCGCTCGCCCCCGGGCAGGCGCGGGGGACTGAGGACGCTGGTTGCGGCGCCCGCTCTGCTCCGCCAGGGGGCGCCCCAGCCCAGGGGATCGGGAGCCGGCGAACCCCGCCCCGGGCCCCGCTTCCCGCCGCGGCAGGAAGGAAGAACGAGCGGGCCTCGGCGCTGGTGCTGCCGGCGCGGACCCACAGTACGTGCCGCGGGCCCCGCTCCACGTGGGGTGCGGGCTGGGGGAGCCCCGTGGGGAAAGCGGGGCTGGTCCCAGGGCGAGGATCCAGACACCTGAGGCGGGTACGGGGGGAGAGCTCCCAGTTCCCAGCCGTGGCAGCCCATGTACCTGAGCCGTCGGGAAGAGGGGATCCCCCGGACCCGCCCCGGGGTGGTGAGGCCGTGGGAAGAAAACAGAGAAGTCCCTCTCTTCCCCCTCCCCTCCCGCCTGGGAACTCAGCTGGTGAATGGGGGGACACCCCCTCCCCAAAACCATCCTGTGAACTGGGGTGAAGCGATGGCGTGGGGAGACCACCCACCCCTGTGTGAAGTGAGGGGGGGAAAGGACCCCCCGCAAGCCCCTCTCCCTAAGCAAGGGGTGTTTGGGTGAGGAAGAAAGAGAACCCATTCTCACCCCCAAATGAGAACAGCGGCCCCCATGCTGGGCTCCCAGTCGCAAGGTGGCTGCCCCACCATTGTTCTGCAATTATTTTTATTACCGTAGCACTTAGGAGCACTAGTCATATACCAGGGCCTTGCTGTGTTAGGTGCTGTGCAAACATAGAGCAAAAAAGATCGTTTGATGCATCAAACAGCCATACTTAGTAAGCTTAAAACTGCTAGTAGTTGGTGGCACGCAACCAGGATTCATCATTGAATTTGGTCCGCTGGTTGGATCACTAGCTTCCCTGGCCAGAGCCGGGTACTGAGGGGCAGCACGACATGAACGCTGATCCGTGCCCTCTGGTGCTAGGCACTGTACACAAACACACAATAGAAGACAGGCCTTGCTCCAAAGAGCTTAAACTCTAAAAGACTACTCATTTCCTTCTCATATGCACACTACTTCCTACCACTGACCTGCCAATGCCCCAAGGTAGGACAAGACCCAAAATAAGGCATACCAGTGATAATTTATTGTTCACTATTACAGATGGGTTTTTTTAAATGTAGTACAAATTGACCTTTTGTTTTTTCCAAATCCAAACATTTGCCCTATAAGCCACTGAAATGCACCAGGTATCCTGGATTTCAAAGCAACACCCTGTATTCTCAGATGCATATAGGACAGAGGTCCCCAAACTGTGGGGGCACCCCTCCAGGGGGCACGGAGAAACATTCTGGGAGGGCACGTGGGGCCTGCGCCAGCCCCAATGGGGGGTGGGGGGGAGAGTGCTACCCAGCCCCGCTCCCTGCAGTCCCAGCCCCACCTGCAGCCCGTTCCTGGCCACAGCTCCACTCCCGGCCGTGGCCCCCTGCTCCCAACACTGACCCGTTCTCAGCTGAGGCCCCAGCTGCAGCACTGGCCCCGCATCCAGCCCCCTGACCATGCCTCCCGGGGGGCGGGGGGGGAGGGAGTTTGGGGACCACTGTTATAGGAGTAGGGCCTTAGGCTCTTGGGACCTGGTGAACTGTGACTTTATACATGCTACTGCATGGTCTGCATGAAGTTTTTGTACCTATTTAACTATTTCAGTATGTGTTTGTGAGGCAAGGGGTTGATTTTCTACCAAAACAGTTAAATGAGTACAGTCTCTAGCCTGGGCACAGCTATACCATTATGACTTATTTCCCTTTCCTTACAGCAGTAAGCTGTATCTGCATAAGCACCTTTATACCAGTATAACTGCATGCATATCAGGCTACGTCTTCACTACCCGCCGATCCGGCGGGTAGCAATCGGTTTATCGGGGATCGACTTACCGCGTCTCGTGAGGACGCGGTAAAATCGATCCCTGATCGCTCTGCCGTCGACTCCGGAAATCCACCTCGACAAGAGGCGGCAGCGGAGTCGGCGGCAGCGCGGCAGCGGTCGGCTTTCCCCCGTCCTCACCACCAGGTAAGCCGACCTAAAATACGCAACTTCAGCTACGGTATTCACGTAGCTGAAGTTGCGTATCTTAGGTCGGAACACCGCTGTAGTGTAGACCTAGCCTTAGATGGGTCTCTATCACTCTAACTATGCTGGCTGGATAACAGCCAGGTCCTAACTGAGTCTCAAAAGTCAACCAGAGAACATCTTTAATATTTGTCGATATTCACAAACAGGAATGTAGTCTACAGGAGTTTTTGTTATATATTGGTGCAATCAATTGGCTCTGTGTTGCACATCTACATTTCTACAAGAATTATAACTGGGCCATGTTGATATTAAAATTAACATAGGTAGTGATGCCGAGTGGTAATTAATCGGTAGCTGAGTGACAGAAAAGGCTGAATGGATTTTATTTAAACATCTTCCTGCCCCCAGATTTTCTAGCACTAGAAAGGTAAAATGATAATTTGAAAAATATAAACTGTTGGTGCTACAACATGGCATTTTGTTCTCACCGAGTTCTTGGAATATGTACAAAACACTTACAGCAATTTCAGTATTGGTTCAAGTCATGGTCCATCTGTTCCTTTATCTGGCTGTGAAAAAAGTTAGGGGGAAATCATTCCTGACCCACACAAGTGATTGATGTATTCCCTGAAATAAAAGTTGTGATGACTTATTCAATAGTTGTCTTATTTTGCAGAGCTACAAAAGTTAATGTTGATAAGATTCTCCAGTCCTCTCTAATTTTATTGACTTCAGTGACTTTCTTTGACAGTAAATTCCCCAGATTGACTGTGGGATTTGTGAAGAAGTATTTTAATTTGTTCTAATTCCTCCCCCTCTTAATTATATCATGTTCTATGTTCTATTACTATGCAACAGTGTGAAAAGAAGTGACTGACTAGCTCTTGCTATGCTCTTCATAATTTTGAATAACTGAAAATCCCCTCAATCCCTTTTTTTTTTTAAATTTATTTTTTATTTATTTATTTATTTTGGCTAAACAGACCGGTTTCTTCAGGTCTTGCCAGACTGAACACTAATACTTTTGTTGACCGTTTGTAGGTCTTTTCAAGCTGTGCAATATATTTCAAGTGTGGCTACCAAAACTGTGTACAATACTCCACCAGGGGGCTGTACTCTCATGATGTACAATGTATCATCACATTTTCAAAATACAGCATTCCAGGATCCAATCCTACAGGATGATGATCCTTCTCAACTTAACTTCAGTGGGACTGAGTGATGTACAACACTTTGTGGGATCAGACCTGTACTCAGTTATAGCTTTCTTCTCACTACTGCTTGCTCACTTCAAGTTTATAAGTAGATGGGCATGTTTTGATGAATTGCAATACATCAGTATTTAATATAAATGGGGAATTATTTTATGATTTGAAAGGTTAGGAAAGGAGATAATACAATGTATCAGAAATGGACTGTTTGTCCTGTGTACAGTGCCTAGCACAATGGGGTCCTTATCCATGACTGGGACTCCTAGACGCTGTGGTAATACAAACCGATAATTATGTGGCTGTGATAACAAAAGGGGTGGGGTGGGAACTTTCTGTGCCAAAGCCCTCCAAGCAACAGAACATTTTAATACACAAAAAGGGACCAAAGTATTCTTTGTCCATGCATTTTATTGTTGCTGCCTGCAGCCTTAAAATCTTTTACTTTAGGCTCCAATCCTGCCAGATGGTCTCTGCCAGCAACCCCCCCATCCCTGCAAAGAGCCATATTCAGTGACGCTCCACATGGGCACCAGGGTTTGCCAGCACAGATCATTTGGCAAGATTGGGGCCTTAATTTTACTACCATGAGTAGTCCCATTGATTGGACTATTCACTGTAGTAAAGTTAAGCACATGTGTAAGTGTTTGCAAGATCGGGCCTTACCTTTAATGCCAGTATTGCAAAATTCTCCCCATCCAATTGCCTGGGGATAGTAATTTTTGTATGAGGAAGTAAATTTTTTCATCACCATTATGGTAAGTGCGGACAAGTAGATTTTTTTGCCTGGGCTAATATATTTCCTTGGTAATTTTACAATGGTGATTCATACCTTTTAATAATTTTCTTCATTCAAAAGTTAAGTGGTGTTCCCAGTGACATTAGACTACTTTCGGATTGTGTAGCAACCTCCGTATTTTAATTTTTAGGAATTGAAAAAAGTAGAGCCAAAATGATTTTATTTATTTTTTGCTTCTTGTGTGATTTTGATAACCTATTGAATTTACTTTTGAAGAGCCATTTTGCTTTTTGATTTCTTATTAATTATTTCTTTGTTGTTTGTATTGTGGTGGTACCCAGTATCAGGACTTTCCTGTGTTAGGTGTTATATTTCTATAAGAGTTCATAAATAATTTATGAAAATTAATTTTTTTCTGTTTGCTAAAGTGTATGTTTATTTCATGTTCAGTAAACTATTACATTTTAATGGATTTGCTAGGGCGTTTTCACCCCTCAAAAAACTCTCTGTATGTCCTTCTGAATATGGTGTGTATTTTTAGTCATTTATGGTATTAAAAACAAAGTCTCTTTATGTTAGGCTGTGAACCTGATTTTTGTTTATCCTTAAGGCAGTTCAGAGAATGTTTTGGTATGAAAAAGTCATAGACAGACACAGAATTCTAATGTATGTAATTTTTCTAAACTACAGGCAGAAAATGAGAGAGGCAGCTACAATAGAGTTTACATTTTAAATGTGAGAAAGAGCCCTTTATATTTATTCCAGTGACCTTGACAGTACCCAGATGTGCACATGAAAGAAACGAAAACCACACACAC